CACTACTCAGCTCGAGGCCGCCCGAAATGATACATCTCTCCTGCTTGACTTCTCTTCTCGTCAAGCTAACGCTTTAAACAATCTTACTGCGGCGTTAGTAGATGTAGTCAACACTGGGGCTCTGGACGACGAAGCAAGGACGAGGTTAGCGGACGTCTCTCGCCGAAGCCTTACTGAGATAGCCGATGTTCGCCGAAGATTGTTCGACACCCCCTCACTAGTCACTCCTATGGCGTATGAGCCACCACCGTCCCTTGACTGGTTAGGTTGCCGTAGTAGTTCTCGTGTCCCAGCTTCCGCCCAGGCTGCTCTCGACCTCCTCAGTCTTCCCTTCGAGTGTCTACGGACCATACGTTCTCTGTGGAGGACTCCGAGCATGCAAGCTGCTCGAGATGTCCAGGACTTCGGTGACTTCTTCGGGGCTATGAATCGGGCATGGAATGCTTCTCTCTCTACTGCGTTCCCGTCTGAGACTCTCGATCTACCTTCGGTCATCGGTCGCCTCCACACCAATCCCGCGGGACCGAGTGGATCGAAGGAGAAAGGAAAAGGAAAAGGTAAGGGTAAGAGTAAGGACAAGTGAGCGGTACGTAGCTGTAATCCTATGTTGTATGCAGTACGTTCTATCTCCTAGCCCTTCGCAGTCGCCCTTCCTTCGGCTTAGTAGGGTGAAGTTCGTGGAACTTCGCCAATATGTCATCAGCTCCATCGACGTTCTCCACTGGTTCCCATGATACTGAGTCGTCTGTTCCTTCGTAACCTAACCACTCCACCAAGTACTCTAACTTTCCTGATCTCTTATTTACTCTAGAGTCTACAATGTCTTTTACCTCCCACGATTCCCCTACATTATCTACCTCTACTGGGCCAGGTGGTTCAGCTTGCTGACCAGGGAATACTGGAGGATGATAAGGACGGAGCAAGGAGACATGGAATACATCATGGATACCTGCCATCGTTCCTGGTAGTTCCAATTTACAGGCATGAGAACCTACCTGCCGTACTACTTTGTACGGCCCACTTTGCTTAAGGTCCAGCTTCTTCATTGGTCTCTTAGTCTTGATATTCTCTAACGACAGCATGACTAGGTCACCTTCCACGAAGTTCGGCGTAGTTCGATGTTTCCTGTTGTATCCTTCGGCGTACTTCTCGTTAGCTCTCTCGATTCCCTCAATACATTCTTTGTGTATTTCGGTTAAGTCTTTTACCACTACTGTAGCAGCAGGTACCTCAACCTCACTGGTCTTAATCTCTTCAGCCCACCGAGGGTGGTACCCATAGTTCGCATAAAACGGTGTCTTGTTTATCGCAGAATGGTGGGTGTTGTTATAAGCGAAGCTCGCTCGAGCAAGCAGCTTTGACCAGTCGTTTTGCTGATAAGAAGTGAAGATTCTAAGGTATAGTTCGAGGGATTGATTTGTTCGTTCGGTCTGTCCATCAGTCTGTGGATGATATGCAGTAGAGAGGTGTAGTCTTATCCCGAGACTATCGGTCAGGTTCTTCCAGAACTTCGAGGTGAATTTTGATCCCCTGTCCGATACTATGTTCTCTGGTAGCCCATGCTGGGCTACCACATAGTCCATTATCAGCTCTGATAGCCCAGTTGCGGTCAACTTCGTCGTAGTTGGGATAAAAACCGCCCATTTGGTCAATCGGTCCACTACTACCAGTATCGAATTATACCCATGGGAATTCGGGAGTTCTTCAATAAAATCCATCGAGATACTGGACCAAGGTTTCGTAGCCACCTCCAGCGGTTTGAGCTCCCCATGAGGTTTCTGCCTGTTAGTCTTCGCTCTCTGACATACCGCGCATCCAGCAACATAATCTTCGACATCCTTCCTTACTCCAACCCAGACATAATCCCTCAGGACTAGTTCAAGGGTCTTCGCCGAACCTGGATGACCGGCCAAGGCTGAGTCATGTCGCATCTTCATGATTTTTAGCCGAGCATCGGCGTAGTTTGGCACATAGGTACGATCATCGAACGTGAGGAACCCCCTTGAGCTCCATCCTCCACGAAGTATTAAGGGGGACCGCGAACTACGGCGTAACTCGGCGACCGACTCTGGTTCCTGTACGTTATCTTGACATGTCGGATGGGAGCACTCAGCACAGGTTACTCCCAATAGTTCTTCTCTAACCTCCTCCACCTCTTCGTCTTCTTGTATCCCAACTATCAAATCCATAGGATCAATGAGGTCGTTTTCCCGTACTTCCTTTGTACCCTGTAAAGCTCAAAGTAGGTGTTGTAACCCAGAGCTAGTGTCGTCAAGTTCGTCGAACTTCGGCAAACCTTGAATGAGATTGCTCTCTTGCACCATGGTACTCCCTTTTCCCGAGTGGTAGTCCGCTCTTCTCGATAATCCGTCCGGCAGTGTGGCTTGTTTTCCTGGTCGATACACCATTTTGAACCTGAAGTTAGAGAGCTCTTCGACCCACCTACCCTGTCTAGGGCTAAGTTGTTTAGGTTCCATCCAATACGTCAAATTCAAGTGATCTGTGAGAACTGTAGTCTCTACCTGTAGCAGTAAGTGTCTCCTTCTTCTGAAAGCCTCAACGATAGCTAGTAACTCCTTTTCGCCTACCGTGTAGTTCAACTGCGCCGCCTGGAACGCTCCGGACTCGATAGCCACCGGATGTTCTTGCCCCAACTCGTTCACCTGCGAAATTATGAAACCCCAGCCGAAGAACGACGCATCTGTTTGTAGTAATGTCTTCAACGAGGGATCTGTCACGGCCGTCGAGCAATTACTTCCTAATAGACCGACGGTCGACGAACCTCGGCTAACTTCACGCTTCTGAGTCGATGTCTCACCCAACCGGGAGGGCGCAAACGTCGAAAAGGAGTGTAACTACGGCGTACTTCGGCGTAGTTACTCTAACTAAGGCTTTGTTCTACTGATGGCGATGTATCTCGATTTATAGCTATCTCTATCTGTCTTTTACTACTGACAACAATCAAGGATCGCTGAGGAAGTTCAGCGATCTGTAAACTATCTATACTACTCCTCTCTTCTCATAGAACGTCCCTCAACTCCTGCACTGCCTCACGCTCAGTCCTCTTCGTTCAACTTTGCCGTACCTCGCCATATCCCCGATATCCTACTCCGCTCACTTCGACTAACTTCGCCTAACTTCCCCTGTTCTGCTCTCCCTCGGTTCCCTTCCCCTAACTTCGCCGTAGTTCTCCGCTAGGCGGGTTTATCGTGACAAATACCCTCTTGGTTCTCGTAACTTCGCCGTAGTTGGTCTCAGTGGTTCGAGTGGAGGTTGGTGGTGGTGAAAAGGAAGGTCGGTGATGGTGAAAGGAGGGTCGGTGATGGTGGTTGTCAGGGATGTTACGACGTAGTTCGTGACAGGATCAAAGTGAGCCAATACTGGGGCCCTACACATCCTCTCCTTTAATTCCTTAAAAGCTCTTTCCTGTTCTACTCCCCAAACAAACGGTACATCCTTCCTGGTGAGATCATTGATTGGTTTAGCAATTCTGGAGAAGTTGGGGACAAAACGCCGATAATAACTGACAACTCCCATAAATCCTCTGCTCTCTTGCAAGTTCCTAGGACGAGGGAAAGACACGACAGCATCGATGTATTCCGGATTACTAGAAATCCCTTCTCGCGAAACCACGAACCCCAGGAATACTACCGAATCTCTTTCAAACTCGCACTTACTTGCTTTTACGAACAAATTCGACCTTCGAAGCACTTCGAACACCTTCGCCGTAGTTCCTCTTAGTTCCTCCAATGTTTGACCATAGATGAGTATATCATCTATGTAGACCACTACTCCCTTTCCCAACAGCTCTCGAAAACTTTCATTCAAGAAGTGCTGGAAAACAGCAGGAGCATTCCGTAGCCCATCTCGGACAACAAGAGACTCGAACATACCGTACTGGGTCCTAAATGCTGTCAAGTGCTCGTGTCCTTCCTTTACTCGTAGGAGTTGATAAGCCCCAATTAGATCTAACTTGCTGAAATACCTCGCTTTTCCTAGCTCTTCGGTTATCTGGCCGATCAGAGGCAGCGGATAGGCGTCGGGTATCGTTGCCTCGTTCAACTTTCGGTAATCAATGACCATTCGCCATTGACCTTTGGCTTTCTTCGGTACCAAGAACATCGGTGATCCGTAGGGCTAATTACTGGGTCGAATTCTTCCGGCCGATATTTCGCGATCTAGGATGTCTCTCAGCGCACTTCTCTGATCTTCTCCAAGCGAGTAGAGTGGAGCAACCTTCAGGTTCGCCCCCTCCTTAAGATCAAACTCCAGGTCATAGCCTCTCGAGGGAGGTAATTCTTCACCTCCCTTCCTTGGGTTAAAAACATCAATGAACGAGTGGTATTGTTCAGGAACCACCTGATACAATTCCTCCTGCTCCTCCGGACTCAGTTCATCCTGGTCATCTTTGTCTCGGAGATCTATCGCGTCCGTCGGAGTCGGCAGCCCTATGGCCGCTAACTTCGCCGCACTTGGTGGGGTTGGGGTGGGAAATTTCACCGAGTTGTCTTTTCCATCAAGGACAACCCCTTCCCTCCTCATCCAATCCCACCCTATCACAACATCTGCGTCGCAGAGCGTTGTTACATCGAGACGAGCGGATCGCACTTCGGCGTCCTTCGTCAAACTAAATCCGACTTCGACAAACTCGGTGATGGGTCCAGCGACACTCACCGAGCGGTCGAACATGTGAACGGGTACGCTCACCTGATATCGCCTCTTTTCTACACCTATCTTCGCTGTGGCCCTAGGGCTTATATATGAACAAGTAGCTCCAGTGTCCCAGAGCGTAGTTAGCTTTACTCCATTAATGAAAATGTCCGATTTAGGTTGATCTCTGGAAACGGAAGGGATGAGAAGATGATTATCGACACTGCATGAACAAGGGGTACTGAGTGGTGTATTTTTGTATTCACAATCCTCTGGCTCCATCAGCTGTGCTTCTTTTATAGGTTTAGGAATGGTGGCCGAGAGAATATGGCGGACCCGCCGAGCCTCGCCTACTGCGACAGGTCCTCTTCTTTTCCCTGGTCCTCTTCCAAATCTACTTCTCCTCCAACCGCATTCAAGTTCCTCCTCTGTCCGAGAGGTACTGCGTTCCCTCCCGATCCTCCACCACGTTCTCCGAACTTCTCCCCCCATGGAGGCAACAGTCCAACCTTAACCTTAGCCTCCCTTACAGGACATTCCTTCAGCCAATGTCCTGTTTCACCACACTCCGTGCACTTCCCCTCTTTCCTCCTTGTCTCCCTCAGATCGGCGCTCGGCCTAGGCCATTTTCGGCGAACTTCGTCGATGTTCGGCGGCGCACTCTTTACCACCGTCGACGTCATGGTCGCTTGGACACCAACCTGCGCCGAAGGTTGTCCCCTTTCCCATTTCTTCTCTTCTTTCTTCTCCGCCCTCTGACTTTCCACCACTGTTGTTGTCTTTGTCCCTCCTTCCCTCCTCCTCTCTGCCTCCTTCTCCACTTGTCTCCTCCACAGGCGGTTGTCCAAGGGAATTACAAACTCCAATAGCTCTTTCACAGTCCCAAACGATCTACCATGTCTTGCAATTTCATCCAGGAGGTGCGATTTTAAACCTTTCTTAGCCCGATCGACTAAGTTTCCGTCATCAGACCACTTGAGTATCGCCACATGTCGCTGAAAGGCAGAGAAGTAATCCGAAGCAGAGCCGGTTTGTTTAAGATCATTGAGCTGTCGGGCTGCAGTTCCTTCTTCATCTGGTTCGCCGAAGTTAGTCTTGAGATACTTGACGAATTGGTTGTGCGCCGTGAGGTATTCCGGCAGAGGCCTTTTCGATAGATCGGGTTGAACAGCAAGAAGGGGAGTTTCACGTAAGTGAGAAATCATGAAAAAGACCTTCTTAGTGTCGTCGGGGAAAAGGTGAGAGTTTAATTCGAAGTGTACGTCGCATTCAGACAGAAAAGCGGTTAACTTATTCCGCTCTCCCCTCCAAAAATCTGGGTTAGGCAACTTTATCCCCTTCCTTTGTTCCCCAACTGCGCTTGGAGTCGCCGAAGTTTGCCGTCCCATGGCGTACCTCACTCCTTCTGATATCCCTTCTGCAATTCCCCCCACTGTCTCCCTTTCTCTCCTTTGCTCCCACTCCTCCCTACGCCTTCTCTCCTCCATCATATCCTTGTTCATATTTGCCACCATCTGCATTAAGGCCAACATTACCCCTTGAGTCCCTCCTTCTCCGAAGTTCGTTCCACCTCCATTGTTTTCTGGCCGTGGGGTTTGATCCGATCCCACTGGGGATCCAATAGGTGGGAGAATATCGGCCACAGGTGTAGGAGGATTAGACGGTACTGGTGGAACGGACTCATCTCCTTGAACTGACCCCCCTACGCTATCTTCCACCCCAAGGTCCTGTCCCATCGCTCTTCTAAGCTCCTCCAATGCTCTCCTCTCATTATCCTCCATCCTGTCTTCACCCCTACTCATGCCTCGCGTAATTCTCCTTTCCGGTTCCATATTATCTTCGTACTTCTCCGAGGTTCGCGCGGGTCGTCGGTAAGAGCGATCCTTGATACTGTCACGGCCGTCGAGCAACTTCTTCCTAATAGACCGACGGTCGACGAACCTCGGCTAACTTCACGCTTCTGAGTCGATGTCTCACCCAACCAGGAGGGCGCAGACGTCGAAAGGAGTGTAACTACGGCGTACTTCGCCGTAGTTACTCTGACTAAGGTTTTGTTCTATTGATGGCGATGTATCTCGATGTATAGCTATCTCTATTTGTCTTTTACTACTGACAACAATCAAGGATCGCTGAAGAACTTCAGCGATCTTCTCAGCTAATATAACCTATCCCTCCTAGACGTTCATCCAACCCTCCCGCGCTTTGACGTACTTCAACGCACTTCGTCCAACTTCTCCGAACCCCGGCCACCCTCCTCCTCCTTCGACTAACTCCGTCTAATATCGCCGCACTTCTGCTCCCATTGTCCCTACCTAGCCTAACTCCGCCTAACTTCGCCGCACTTCTGCTCCCATTGTCCCTATCTACCCTAACTTCATCTAACTTCGCCGTACTTGGTCTCAGAGGTCCTGAGTTACGTGTAGAGTAAAGGGGTTTGAGTCGTGATGGGGTTTTGATGGTCAAAGGAGGGTCGTTGTTGGTGGAATAATCGAGGTGTCACGACGTAGTTCGTGACAAACAACCTGTTTGGAGGGGGTATTTATCCCCATCAAGCGGGTTGCTCAACATGTCTACGGAATAAACTAGAAAGCGCAAACATGGGAAAGATTGCTCAACGAGCAGACTGAATTACTACTTTGGGGAAGTGGAGGCAGGCACTGAATGTTCCGGACTATGGATGATTGCTCAGCAATCAACCAGAGTTACTACTTTGGGAAGGTAAAGGCAGGCACAGAATGTTCCAGAGTGTGGAGGCTTGATAAGCAAGTGGAGGTAAATGTGGAGGCAATGGTGGAAGGTTCCAGCATGTGGAGGTGGAGGTGGAGGTATTCAGGGGTATGTGTTTCAAGTGTCTGATTGCGCAAAAGCACTTTGACAAGTGGCAGATAGGTGATGTATGACACCCAAGGTGGTGTCAGTTTGACCCAGGGTGATCCGTACTGACCCATAGTGGCGTCAAGGTGACATCAGGCTCCTCCAGTGTGGTGCGGGCCGCGTTGTAGTGGTGCCACCATGGCTCGTACTGTACCACAGTGGCGCGGGGTGATGTCGGGGTGATGCCAGGGCGATGTCAAGGTGACGACAGTGACACCAGGGTGGTGAAGTATGAAGGATGTAGCGAGTTGTGGAGCAATAGGTCGAAGAGATGTTGTAAGGTGTTGTAGGTGTTACGAGCCTGTCGAAGTAGGCAATAATGGCAAATCGGTTGTAGAGTGACAGGGTCGTAACAACTTGCTCGGATCCTTCGCAAGTCACTTTAGCCGTCTGTCACGAACTACGCCGTGACACCTCGATTATTCCACCAACAACGACCCTCCTTTGACCATCAAAACCCCATCACGACTCAAACCTCTTTACTCTACACGTAACTCAGGACCTCTGAGACCAAGTACGGCGAAGTTAGATGAAGTTAGGCTAGGTGGGGACAATGGGAGCAGAAGTGCGGCGAAGTTAGGCGGAGTTAGGCTAGGTAGGGACAATGGGAGCAGAAGTGCGGCGATGTTAGGCGGAGTTAGTCGAAGGAGGAGGAGAATGGCCGAGGCTCGGGGAAGTTGGACGGAGTGCGTTGAAGTACGTCAAAGCGCGGGAGGGTTGGATGAACGTCTAGGAGGGATAGGTTATATTAGCTGAGAAGATCGCTGAAGTTCTTCAGCGATCCTTGATTGTTGTCAGTAGTAAAAGACAGATAGAGATAGCTATAAATCGAGATACATCGCCATCAGTAGAACATAACCCTAGTTAGAGTAACTACGCCGAAGTACGCCGTAGTTACACCCCTTTCGACGTCTGCGCCCTCCTGGTTGGGTGAGACATCGACTCAGAGCGTGAAGTTAGCCGAGGTTCGTCGACCGTCGGTCTATTAAGAAGTAGTTGTTCGACGTCCGTGACAGTATCAAGGATCGCTCTTACCGACGACCCGTGCGAACCTCGGAGAAGTACGAAGATAATATGGAACCGGAAAGGAGAATTACGCGAGGCATGAGTAGGGGTGAAGACAGGATGGAGGATAATGAGAGGAGAGCATTGGAGGAGCTTAGAAGAGCGATGGGACAGGACCTTGGGGTGGAAGATAGCGTAGGGGGGTCAGTTCAAGGAGATGAGTCCGTTCCACCAGTACCGTCTAATCCTCCTACACCTGTGGCCGATATTCTCCCACCTATTGGATCCCCAGTGGGATCGGATCAAACCCCACGGCCAGAAAACAATGGAGGTGGAACGAACTTCGGAGAAGGAGGGACTCAAGGGGTGATGTTGGCCTTGGTGCAGATGGTGGCGAATATGAACAAAGATATGATGGAGGAGAGAAGGCGTAGGGAGGAGTGGGAGCAGAGGAGGGAAAGGGAGACAGTAGGGGGAATTGCAGAAGGGATATCTGAAGGGGTGAGGTACGCCATGGGACGGCAAACTTCGGCGACTCCAAGCGCAGTTGGGGAACAACGGAAGGGGATCAAGTTGCCTAATCCAGACTTCTGGAGAGGAGAGCGGAATAAGTTAACCGCCTTTCTGTCTGAGTGCGACGTACACTTCGAATTGAACTCTCATCTCTTCCCCGACGACACTAAGAAAGTCTTTTTCATGATCTCTCACTTACGCGAAACTCCCCTCCTTGCTGTTTAACCCGATCTATCTAAAAGGCCTCTCCCAGAATACCTCACGGCGCACAACCAGTTCGTCAAGTATCTCAAGACTAACTTTGGCGACCCAGACGAAGAAGGAACTGCAGCCCGACAGCTCAGTGATCTCAAACAAACCGGCTCTGCTTCGGATTACTTCTCTGCCTTTCAGCGACATGTGGCGATACTCAAGTGGTCTGATGACGGAAACTTAGTCGATCGGGCTAAGAAAGGTTTAAAATCGCACCTCCTGGATGAAATTGCAAGACATGGCAGATCGTTTGGGACTGTGAAGGAACTATTGGAGTTTGTGATTCCCTTGGACAACCGCCTGTGGAGGAGACAAGTGGAGAAGGAGGCAGAGAGGAGGAGGGAAGGAGGGACAAAGACAACAACAGTGGTGGAAAGTCAGAGGACGGAGAAGAAAGAAGAGAAGAAATGGGAAAAGGGACAACCTTCGGCGCAAGTTGGTGTCCTGTTACGACTCGAACCTGGCAGGCCTTGGGGCCAGCGACGAGTAGACGGCGGAAGTCGTAATCGGCGAGCTTGGGTTGTGTTACGACCTGGCTAACCAGCACCAGGCCATACACTGGCCATGCATGTGACATCTTATGCCACTGCGCTAAAAGGCACAATATCGCAATCAGCCCTATGATTGCGATCCGGTTATAACCTGATGTCACGACTGAGGTTGCAGGGTCGTGACAGGAGCCCCTCCTTTAAGGGCCGAAGTCCCTTGAGGCCTTCAGGTTTAGTACCCAAACCTATTATGGTTTGACAGCGCTTTGGGTTCGATTCTCAGAGGGAGAGACTTTTGGCGGCGGACCTCACCCGCCACTGCCACATCCCACCAATGTGGCAGAGCAAATATGATGCGCTCTGGGTGGGGATCGAACCTGCTACTGTTTGATTGCGATATTCTGTTACGACCTGGCTAACCAGCACCAGGCCATACACTGGCCATGCATGTGACATCTTATGCCACTGCGCTAAAAGGCACAATATCGCAATCAGCCCTATGATTGCGATCCGGTTATAACCTGATGTCACGACTGAGGTTGCAGGGTCGTGACAGGTTGTGCGGAGGCGAAGTTGCACAACCACTAGACTTGTGTGGTCGAAGATCGAAAGGTGTGGTCGAAGTGGCGATGTGACCAAAGGTATGCTCGAAGGATCCCGAAGTGTCGGCGAGCGAAGCGAAGTAGACCGAAGATGTATGTCAAGACTATGGAAGGCCTATGGAAGACTATTGTCACTTTTGTAACTTATGTAACTTATGATAGATTGATCCTTGAAGAGGATCAAGACAAAATGTGCTCCTTATATATCCATCATTTGGTCCCCCCGGTGTAGCGCCACCTCTCCGGGCGGCGTCATCCTGACGCCAGCCTGAATGGTCCTGTCCCATGCTGATCCGTGCTGACCCAGTCTGATCCATAGTGGCGTCAGCCTGACCCAAGGTGGTGTCAGTCTGACCCATGCTGACCCGTACTGACCCATGCTGACCCAAAGTGGCGTCAAGGTGACGTCAGGCTCCTCCAGTGTGGTGCGGGCCGCCTCGTAGTGGTGCCACCATGGCTCGTACTGTACCATAGTGGTGCGGGGTGATGTCGGGGTGATGTCGGGGTGATGTCGGGGTGATGTCGGGGTGATGTCAAGGTGACGACGGTGACACCAGGGTGGTGAAGTATGAAGGATGTAGCGAGTTGTGGAGCGATAGATCGAAGAGATGTTGTAAGGTGTTGTAGGTGTTACGAGCCTGTCGAAGTAGTCGATGATGGCGAATAGGTCGTAGAGTGACAGGGTCGTAACATGTCCAAGCGGCCATGACGTCCACGGTGGTAAGGAGTGCGCCGCCGAACATCGACGAAGTTCGCCGAAAATGGCCTAGGCCGAGCGCTGATTTGAGGGAGACAAGGAGGAAAGAGGGGAAGTGTACGGAGTGTGGTGAAACAGGGCATTGGCTGAAGGAATGTCCTGTAAGGGAGGCTAAGGTTAAGGTTGGGCTGTTGCCTCCATGGGGGGAGAAGTTCGGAGAACGTGGTGGAGGATCGGGAGGGAACGCAGTACCTCTCGGACAGAGGAGGAACTTGAATGCGGTTGGAGGAGAAGTAGATTTGGAAGAGGACCAGGGAAAAGAAGAGGACCTGTCGCAGTAGGCGAGGCTCGGAGGGTCCGCCATATTCTCTCGGCCACCATTCCTAAACCTATAAAAGAAGCACAGCTGATGGAGCCAGAGGATTGTGAATACAAAAATACACCACTCAGTACGCCTTGTTCATGCAGTGTCGATAATCATCTTCTCATCCCTTCCGTTTCCAGAGATCAACCTAAATCGGACATTTTCATTAATGGAGTAAAGCTAACTACGCTCTGGGACACTGGAGCTACTTGTTCATATATAAGCCCTAGGGCCACAGCGAAGATAGGTGTAGAAAAGAGGCGATATCAGGTGAGCGTACCCGTTCACATGTTCGACCGCTCGGTGAGTGTCGCTGGACCCATCACCGAGTTTGTCGAAGTCGGATTTAGTTTGACGAAGGACGCCAAAGTGCGATCCGCTCGTCTCGATGTAACAACGCTCTGCGACGCAGATGTTGTGATAGGGTGGGATTGGATGAGGAGGGAAGGGGTTGTCCTTGATGGAAAAGACAACTCGGTGAAATTTCCCACCCCAACCCCACCAAGTGCGGCGAAGTTAGCGGCCATAGGGCTGCCAACTCCGACGGACGCGATAGATCTCCGAGACAAAGATGACCAGGATGAGCTGAGTCCGGAGGAACAGGAGGAATTGTATCAGGTGGTTCCTGAACAATACCACTCGTTCATTGATGTTTTTAACCCAAGGAAAGGAGGTGAAGAATTACCTCCTTCGAGGGGCTATGATCTGGAGTTTGACCTTAAGGAGGGGGCAAACCTGAAGGTTGCTCCACTCTACTCGCTCGGAGAAGATCAGAGAAGTGCGCTGAGAGACATTCTAGATCGCGAAATATCGGCCGGAAGGATTCGACCCAGTAATTCGCCCTACGGATCACCGATGTTCTTGGTACCGAAGAAGGCAAAAGGTCAATGGTGAATGGTCATTGATTACCGAAAGTTGAACGAAGCAACGATACCCGACGCCTATCCACTGCCTCTGATCGGCCAGATAACCGAAGAGCTGGGAAGAGCAAGGTATTTCAGCAAGTTAGACCTAATTGGGGCTTATCAACTCCTACGAGTAAAAGAAGGACACGAACACCTAACAGCGTTCAGGACTCAGTACGGTATGTTCGAGTCTCTTGTTGTCCGAGATGGTCTGCGGAATGCTCCTGCTGTATTTCAGCACTTCTTGAATGAAAGTTTTCGAGAGCTGTTGGGAGAAGGAGTAGTAGTCTACATAGATGATATACTCATCTATGGTCAAACGTTGGAAGAACTGAGGGGAACTACGGCGAAGGTGTTTGAAGTGCTTCGGAGGTCGAATTTGTTCGTTAAAGCTAGTAAGTGCGAGTTTGAAAGAGATTCGGTAGTCTTCCTGGGGTTCGTGGTCTCACGGAGGGGAATTTCCAGTAACCCGGAGTACATCGATGCTGTCGTGTCTTTTCCCCGTCCTAGGAACTTGCGAGAGAGTAGAGGATTTATGGGAGTTGTCAGTTATTATCGGCGTTTTGTCCCCAACTTCTCCAAGATTGCTAAACCAATCAATGATCTTGTCACGCGGCGCCGCGTGACATTATCCTTTCCCATCAAACGAAGTTCCTTTGGACATCAGTTCGCCATCAACGACCCAGTTCGCATGAACTTCACCACCCACGAGGGTATTAGGAGGCTAACTTCGTCGAGGACGAAGTTAGTCATGTAGGAACTTAGGGGGATACGAAGTTAGGAAGATACGAAGTTAGGGAGATACGAAGTTAGGAGGATACGAAGTTAGGAAGGCACGAACTTCGTCGGGGACGAAGTTCGTGAGGTACGAAGCTCGGGACGTCGGGTTGAACGAAGTTCTGCGTTGACGAAGTTAGGGAAGGACGAAGTACTTAAGGGCCGAAGTTCCCAGAGATCTTTGACGATCTCTGGTTGTTGTCTTAGTGATAGAAGTTAGTAAAGTACGAAGTTATTACACCCAGAAGTTATTGTCACCTATTTCATATCTCGAACAACGAAGTTGGTAAAGGTCGAAGCCCACGAAGTTATTGGCCGTCGGTCGTAGGAAGTTAACGAAGAAGCAACCCTGTGACAGTACCAGAGATCGTCCTTACCGACTCTCCAGTAACTCGTGGGAAGATATATGTGGACTAGAGGAAAAGAACGAGAGAGAAGAACGGCTGAAGCAATGTCGAGGAACGAACAGGGGGATAATCAAGGTAACCTAGAACCTCGCGGTTCTAGGGATTCGTCTTTTCTCTCCCAACCACCTTCTGACGCATACTTGGGCGATCCATGGGTTGAGGGAGGTGATCAAGGGAGAAGATTAGAGGAAGAAGATGGGGGGTCGACTGGTGGAAGAAGTTCGTATACATCGCGACCTAGGGGAGGGAACTCACCGGAGAGATTTAAAGAAGATATTAGGGATGGGATGCTGGTGGAAATGATGAGAGCGCTGAGAGAATTGAAGGCGGCTGACAACCAGAAGAGTGAGGCTCTGACAGAGATAGTACAAGAACTTCGTCGAGGACAGCGGGGAACTAGAGAAGGGTCGGCGACAACTTCGTCAACTCGAGCGCCGAAACCGAAAGATCCGGACGAATTCGATGGGTCAAGGGAGAAGCTCACTGGGTTCTTGACTCAGTGTTCGTTGGCGTTGAGTGTGATGAAGGATAGGTTTGAGAGTGAGGAGCAGAGTGTGTTGTGGATGGTAGGGTCCTTACGAGGGGTTGCACTGCTGGCGGTGCAGCCTCATCTACTTTCTACTCCTCTTCCCCCTTTCCTCTCAAAACGTTCTGAGTTTGCTGTGTGGATGAAGAAGAACTTCGGTGACCCAGATGAGAGGGGTACGGCTATTCGGGGGTTGAGGGAATTGAAGCAGAAGCAAGGGAAAGCATCAGCGTACTTCGCTGAATTCCAAAAGTATATTGCTATATTGGGGTGGACTGAGGAGGAGATGTTAGTGGCTCAGGCTATTAACGGATTGGACGAAGTTATGAAGGACGAGCTTTCCCGGAGAGAGGAGATTGGGACTATGGAAGAACTGAAGGCAGTGGTGATCAGATTGGACAATAGAATGACTGAGCGTTGGGTGGAGAGACAGGCTAATGGGCAGAAAACAAGCTGGGGAAGAACGCCTAACTTCGTGCAATCAACGGCGAAGTTAACGACGACACCCGCGAAGAATCCTGTGGGCTCGGTGTTGCCTCCTCCCCCAGTTCGGAGTAACTTAGTGACAGGATCACAGGGTTGGAAGCAAGGGGATCCTCTTACCCCTAGACCTAGTTTCGACCAGAGGGAAAAGTGGAGGGCCGAACGAGCGTGTTTGGAGTGTGGTGGCCAAGGACACTATGTGAAGGACTGTCCCTTGGTAGCGGCTAAGGTAGCTCAAGGAAAGATGAATCCTCCGGAGATGTGGAAGAGTTCAAGGAATAGGGGAACAGGAGGGAATGCAGTAGCTGTGGGGGAGTCGAGGCAGATGAATGCGGTAGCAGGGGAGGATGTGGATGAGGGAAAAGGCCTGGACCCGTCGGTTTGAGAGAACGTCGGCGGGTCCATTTCTCTGTCCTCTCTGCTATTGTTCCTTCTGATATTAAGAGGAAAGAGCTGACAGTAGCAGAACCATGTGTATACGAAGATGGACATTTCATCACGATACCCATCACTAATGCGAGACAACCAAAAACAAAAATCAACGTAAAAGGGGCCCAGGTGGTCGCCTTATGGGATTCAGGAGCGACCAGTTCATATATAAACCCAAAAACAGTGGAGGAGTTAGGATTGGAAGTTATAAGATACCCAGAGGAAGTACCTGTACGTATGTTCGATGGTTCAGAAAGTATTGGTGGCCCCATCACGAAGTTCGTTGAAACGGGGATTCGTGTGTCAGTTGAGGACGAAGTTCGTATGATTCGGTTGGACGTCACGAAGTTGTGCGATGCAGATGTGGTGATAGGATGGGAATGGATGAAGAAGGAAGGAGTGGTCCTGGATGTTAGGGAGGAGGTAATAAAGATCCCGGGTAGACAGAAAAGAGAAGGGGAGAAGTTAGGAGCGGTTTTTGGGTTCAAGGAAGGGGAGGTTTTAGGGCCTAGAGACTCGGCGTTGGAAGACGAACTTAGTGAGGAAGAACAAGAAGAACTGCTGGAAGTGGTACCTTCTGAGTACCATGTTTTCTTGGATATCTTTAATCCTAAGGTAGGAGGAGAGACATTACCTCCAAACAGAAGTTACGATTTGAGACTGGACCTAGTGGAGGGGGCGAAGTTAAAGGTGGCCCCGCTGTACTCGTTAGCTGAAGATCAGAGAAAGGCGTTAAGGGAGATTCTGGAGAAGGAGGTAGCGGCTGGTAGAATTCGAAAGAGTAACTCGCCTTATGGGTCACCTATGTTCATGGTTCCCAAAAGGGTAAAAGGACAGTGGCGGATGGTGACGGATTACAGGAAGTTAAACGAAGTTACCATTCCAGACGTTTATCCCCTTCCATTGATCAGTCAGATTACTGAAGAATTAGGTACAGCAAACTATTTTACGAAACTCGACTTGATGGGGGCATACCAATTGTTACGAATTGCTGAAGGATACGAGTATCTGACAGCATTTCGTACACAATACGGAATGTACGAGTCGTTAGTGGTTAGGGATGGTCTACGAAATGCGCCTGCTGTGTTCCAGCACTTCTTGAACGACATCTTTAGGGATTTACTAGGGGAGGGGGTCATAGTGTACATCGACGACATTCTGATTTATGCTAAGACTAAGGAGGAACTTAGGAGGTGTACGGTAAAGGTATTTCAAAGACTTAGAGAAGCTAAATTGTTTGTGAAGGCGGCGAAGTGTGAGTTTGAACGAACTTCGGTGGTGTTTCTCGGGTACGTAATTTCAAAATCAGGCATTTCGGCAAACCCAGAATACGTTGCTGCTGTACAGGATTTTCCTCGACCTAAGAACTTACGAGAATCCCGAGGGTTCATGGGAATGGTCAGCTACTACCGAAGATTCGTCCCGAACTTCTCGAAACTTGCGAAGCCTCTGAACGATCTTACTCGCAAGGATGTAAGCTTCACATGGGGAACTGAGCAAGAGGAGGCGTTCAGAGTGCTGAAGAAGAAGTTATGTGAAGCTCCAGTGCTAGCTCACTTCGACACCTCCTTGAAAACGATTATGCAGGCAGATGCCTCGTTCTTTGGATGGGGATATATTATCTCACAGGTTGATAAAGAAGGTAGGGAACACCCTGTGGCTATAGAATCGGGAGCTTTTAAGGGTGCTGAGTTGAATTATACTACGGGGGAAAAGGAGTTGTTAGCAATAGTCGAAGGTTTCAGGAGGAAGAGACACTTATTACTACAGGTAGAAACGAAGGTCTTGACAGATCATCTTAATCTGACATATTGGATGGCCCCGAAACAATTGAATCCTAGACAAGGTAGGTGGGTAGAAGAACTGGCTAACTTCAGATTTACGATGATTTACCGTCCCGGGAAGCAAGCGACGCTGCCAGATGCCTTGTCAAGACGACCGGACTATCATCCCGGGATAAAAGGAATAACGACGGAACAAGAGGAGAATTTCGTCCAAGGGCTGCCGAAGTTCGACTCGGAAGATGTTACTGAATCAAGCCTGGGACACATGCTCCGGGCT